CATCAGTGCTAGAAGAGAGGGGGATTGTGGGGAAGAGGAGGGGAGGAGGAGAATGATGAAGGGGAGGAAGAGGAGGAGGAAGAAGAGGACTATGGGGTCCTTGATGCTCTCTGAGCTTGGTGGTTTTCTTGCAGACGTTTCATAACCCAACTAGGTAACACCATCAGTGCTAGAAGAGAGGGGGATTGTGGGGAAGAGGAGGGGAGGAGGAGAATGAGGAAGGGGAGGAAGAGGAGGAGGAAGAAGAGGACTGTGGGGTCCTTGATGCTCTCTGAGCTTGGTGGTTTTCTTGCAGACTTTTCATGACCCAACTAGGTAACCTCATCAGTGCTAGAAGAGACTGTGTTTGTGGGGAAGAGGAGGGGAGGAGGAGAACGATGAAGGGGAGGAAGAGGAGGAGGAAGAAGAGGACTGTGGGGTCCTTGATGCTCTCTGAGCTTGGTGGTTTCCCTGCAGACATTTCATAACCCAATTAGGTAACATCATCAGTGCTAGAAGAGACGGGGGTTGTGGGGAAGAGGAGGGGAGGAGGAGAACGATGAAGGGGAGGAAGAGGAGGAGGAAGAAGAGGACTGTGGGGTCCTTGATACTCTCTGAGCTTGGTGGTTTTCTTGCAGACATTTCATAACCCAACTAGGTAACATCATCAGTGCTAGAAGAGACGGGGGTTGTGGGGAAGAGGAGGGGAGGAGGAGAACGATGAAGGGGAGGAAGAGGAGGAGGAAGAAGAGGACTGTGGGGTCCTTGATACTCTCTGAGCTTGGTGGTTTTCTTGCAGACATTTCATAACCCAACTAGGTAACATCTTCAGTGCTGGGGAGTGGGGGGACAATCGACCACACCCTACCTCACACTGACTGGGGGATTCTGGGAAGTTGCCAAGATGAAGATGCACCGCAGCCGTACTTTGGAGGATAAGCTAAACGGCGGGGAAATGGCTTAACATTTTGTCGTGGGGATGAACCCAGGGCCTAACCCCCCGTCTTGCCTTCCTGCCACGCAGCCTCGCTGATCCGTGGGAACCGTTCCAACTGCGCCCTCTTTTCCAACAACCTGGACTGGCTGGTCAGCAAACTGGACCGACTGGAGGCGTCCTCTGGTGAGCGGAGGGGGGAATTCCAAGTTCGAATTTCAAATTCAAGAGCCGCGGGTGGCGCAGTGGGGAGAATGCAGGATCGCAGGGTAACTCTGCCCACTGCCCGCAGTTCGATACTGAATTGGCTCAAAGGTTGACTCAGCTTTCCATCCTTCTGATACAGGTCAAATAAGGACCCAGATTGTTGTGGTGGGGGGGCAATACTCTGTAAACTGCTTAGAGAGGGCTGGAAAGCCCTGTGAAGCGGTATATAAGTCTAAGGGCTATTGCTGTTGCCTCCGGCAGTAAGGGAGCTGGGCCGCGTCATAGGCTCGCTGAAACCACGCAGTCTGCTGTTCCTGGAAAACAGATCCCTTTGTCAGGATAAGGATCTCAGTGGGATGACAGGTAGCCCCTCACTCACAACCTTTGAAGTTCCAACCACTCTGAAAAAAGTGACTTGTGGCCGTGTTTCACATTTGCGACCGTGGCCACATGATCCAAATTTCAGATGCTGGCTCATATTTACCCATCTCTGACTCTGAAGGCAGCTGATAACTGTCAGACGGCCCTGGCCCCCTCTCTGCCTCCGACACAGAGCCCCCCATCAGAGCCTTCCCCAGACTCCAGGACTGGCCCATCTCTCTCCCCAACCTCCTTCACTCTCTGAATCTGCTGTCAGCTCTGCTGGCGGGTCAAAACATTTTTCTCGGAAGACATTTCGCTTCTCATCCAAGAAGTTTCTTCAGCTCTGGAAGCTTCTTGGATGACAAGAATATAAATATAAAAACCAGAAAGTCCAGTTTCCTCTTGAAAAAAGCACCTTTGGGGACAACCATGACCTGGATGACTGAGAATGGACAGAGTCTCTCCATTCTGCAGTTCAGGAATTACCAAGAGACTGGCAGCCTCTGATTAATT